TTTCTGAGAGTGTACTAGTCCACCAATCAAGACAGCAGCAAAATACTAGCCTCATTATAGTTCATTGGATTTAGTTTAATTGTCACTCACCTGCAATTATACCAATGAATGTTGCTGTTTCAAAGCGGTTGCCGCCTTCTGAATGTTTGCCGTGATGAACACATCCTTCAGGTGCTGTGAAGCAAAAGGCTAAACAGGCAGGCAAAGAAGTACAGCTCCTAATGCAGGTGTGTGCATTGTCGTCATCTATTTTGGAGTGATTGCAATGTATAAACTTGTTCTGTCGATCAGCGTCATTTCTGTACAGATCATTCACCGGTTAATTACGGGTTTAAAAGAGCGCGAGCGCCGTTGACGCGCCCAGACGCGACGCTTTGAATTTGCGCGTACGATGACTGACATCGCGTCGGGAGCTGACTAGCAAAATAGCTACAAAAGTAAAAGCAAAGAAGTTTGTATTCAAAGTCAAAAAGCAAACAGCCTACTAGAAAATTTTTAATGTTTAAACAAAAAGGACCTCAGATGTATATTTTATTAGAATTAGAATGACCTTCTTTTCTGCTTAGTAGTGATAATCTCTTTCACTTCCACTTGATTTGTGTATAGCCTAGTTTCATATTTAAGGTAACAATGCATAATATCATATTATTATTAATATAAAAAATATGAGGGGGAAATAATAATAATTATATAATATTATCACAACTATAATAACATCCTTCACAAACAAAAGAGATTACCTTTGATAAAGATTGATTAATATGCACATACACTACAGCACTGGTCAAAAGGTTGGACACATTACTGTTTTGAATGTTTGTGAAAGAAGTCTCTTATGCTCATCAAGCCTGCATTTATTTGATAAAAAATGCAGAAAAACAGTAATATTCACCAAGGGTGTGTTAAATTGATTATAAAACGTGATAGTAAAGACTTATATTGTTATAAAAGTTTTTTTTAAACAACTTTTTAATCATCAAAAAATCCTGAAAAAGAATCACAGGTTGTAAAATAAATATTAAGTAGCACAACTGTTTCTAACATTGATAATGAATCAGCATATTAAAATGATTTCTGAAGGATCATGTGACACTGAAGACTGTAGTAATGACTGATGAAAATTCAGCTTTGCATCACAGAAATAGATTATATTTTAAAGTAAAGTATAGTAAAATAGAAAACCATCATTTTAAATTGTAATAATATTTAACAATATTATTAATTTTTTTAATTTGTTTATCAAATAAATACAGACTGAGCATAAAAGACTTCTTTCAAAAACATTAAAAACAGTAATGTGTCCAAACTTTTGACCGGTAAAAAAAAAAAAAAAAGTAAAAATATACAAAATGAAATGAAATTTTGTATAAATAAAAAGGTTAGGAATCATATTTGTTTCAAGTGCTTTTAATTGGGAGTGAGGGGCCTCCGACATGAATTTTGCCTAGGCCCTCCAAATGTCAACCAGCCCTGTACACTGGTTAAAGGACAACAGAACATGTGCAGAACGCTGGCACTGACCAACTGATATAAATTTTGGACATGTTTTTACTAAGTCATGTTTATGTATTTCTCAAAAAACCTTATTTTGATACAGACAATTTAGCATGTTTGTACTTTCTCTGCAGCAGAATTATACCTGAAGTTCATAAGCTGTTTCTGGGACAGAAACTAAACAAAACGGTATTGTATGACAATTTGAGGTTTTATTTAGAATTTATATGACAGAATCCAAGGTTTTATATGAGTGCATTAGCTTTTTTTGTTAAAAATAAGTGGTTTTGACGTTTATTGATATCATGTAATCTAAAAGGCTCAAGTGAGTTGCTATGGTGAAGAAATGGCCCACACATTCATGAAATCTAAGTGACACTTACCCTTCACAGTGTGTGCTGAAAATTGTGTCTAATGATCAGAAACGAATTACTATCATTATGTGAAACAAGATAACATTCTAGTAATTTGGTGACAGAAATTAACACTCAATTCTTACATCACTTGCTCACGCTCATGTTGTTCAAAACCAACATGGCTTTTTTTCTTCTGCATGTGCATTAAAGTAACATAAAATATAAAATAAAAAAACATAAAATATTTTAATAAAAAATAAAAGGTTGTGTCCTCTCACCCTTACTGTTTATTATGTACACAAACAATTGTAGGAGTACTTGCCAGAGAGATATTTAATCAAATTTGCTGATGATACTGCATTGGTTAGTCTCCTTAAAGGGGATGAGGACAGTCAGGGACCCTTTTTAAATGATTTTGTTTCTTGGTGTGATGTATCAAATCTCAAGTTAAATGTCTCAAAAACTAAAGAAATGTGTATTGATTTTAGGAAAGAGTCCTCAACGAGTGTGACCATTATTAAAGGGGAGCAGATTCAGAGGGTAGAAGAGTAATACCTTTAGATCACAAATTGAGGTGGGATAAATGGACTGACGCTGTGAACAAAAAGGGCCAGCAAAGATTATATTTCCTTAGGAAGATGGTGTCATTCAGTGGAAGCCCTCCATTGTTAAAGGTGTTTTATAACTCTTTAATTGAAAGTGTACTGACCTTTTGTATTATTTGCTGGTTCGGGAATGTTACGGTGAAACAAAAGAGTATGTTCAGTTACTGCGAGTAAATTACTTGGTATCCCTGTGTTGGGTTTAAAACAAATTTATCAGACTAGATGTCTTGGTAAAGCTATGAAAATTATATCTGAAGATAGGCACCCACTGTATAATGAGTTTGAGCTTTTGCCTTCAGGTAGAAAATTTAAGATACCGGTGTTTTATAAAAAATAGGGGGAAAAAATCTTTCATATCACAGGCAGTGAAGTTCTTAAAAGAAAGATAGGAAAGAAAGAGTTCCCCCCCCTCATTAAATGAGCAGGTCTCATTCAGTATTAGTATTTCTTGATTAATTGCTGTGAGATTTGTATTGTCCTACTGTGAAATGTATGTTGTATTGTCTTGTATTGTATTGTGAGAACTGCATATTGAAACAAGACACTGAAACAAAATTTCCCCAAGGGGATAAATAAAGTTACTAACTAACTAACTAAAAGAAGATATTTTATGAAAGTCTAGAATGGACAAAAGTCTAGTATGACTGTCAAGTATAGACAAAAAAACATACCAAGACACATTTTCTTTACACATTCATACATCTTTTGTGTTCCAGAAAGCAAATCAGGTTTGGAAGTAATTTGAGTAAAACAAAATAAATATGTGTAGTAAAATGCTTAGTAAAAATAAAAGTATGTTTTCTTTAAGGTCCTCCTTTGTTTAACATTGTTTTGCTCATTATGTCTAGACCTGTTGTCGGTCTGAGGCAAATCCATCGAGGCAGACTAGTTCTGAGAGTAAAGCTGATGTTTTTAGGGGTTCTTATGCCACTTTTTATAGTTTTCCTCTGTCAACAGCAGGTGCACAGAGACGTCCCTGAGGCCATATCAACTACTGTCATCAAAGATGAATTAGCTTTCATATTCAAACCACTTACGTATATTTTAATATGCCCTTGTAACTGTATATAGTTAATATGCAGAACTAAGTCTTTAGGTGTCTCTCTCTCCAGGTGGTTGAAGTTTTCTTATCTGAACTATTTCTGAGTCTGGCTCTGCTCTACGGCCTTCAAACTCCCACTAACACACACATTCATACACTCAGACAGACACAGATGCATACGCTCAGACAGGCCCACATTTAGACACGATCCTAAAATTCAAGCATTTCAGTTTGATATCTACAAAAGAACTTTCTTTGCGTTAATCAGTCATACTGTATTTTTTGCATTGGTCTGAAGTTCATCATTACAGACTTTGTCTGGGGCACCTTCTTAGAACAACATCTGTCTTAGACTTAAATATGAAGTTGGACGTCAAAACATACACGTGTCTTTTTAGAGGTCAGAGCAAGTCTACGCTTCTGATAAGGATGTGTGTGAAGTGGAAGAGGACAGGAACAGGCTGAGATAAGATTCAGGGATGAGGTGAACACATGGACGTCCACGACAGCAGGACAACAATGACCAACTATCTGTGAAACTGTTCTGTTAATATAACACCCTGACAATCTGTAATTTGAATTGCTTAAGATCGGTTAAGGGACAAAACAACCCGTACAAAAGTTCAGACCTGGTCCAGTTCAGACACAATAACCCTGACAAAATATAAAAATACTCCTCCATACACTCTCTCCCACTTTCTGTTTTTATCTGTTTTTTCTTCCTTTGCCAAAACTACTATGACTGCTATGCAAGGCTACAGTGCCCTCCTACTCCCTCACTCTCTCACTCATAAACACACACACACACACACACACACACACACGAACACACAACAGTCTCTGCAGATCTTTTCATCAACACACCACAGTCACTTAAACAAAAACGTTTCACTTAGCAATTGCACTTAACAATTTCATAATAGTTTATGTGTTTGATAATTGTAAATAAAATTGATACCTTGTATTCTCAGTCGGGTCAAATAAGGCATAGCAAACATGGCCTGATCTGGTAGGCTAAAACTGATCACTGAGCTGCAGCGCTCAACTTAGGGTAATGCAGTCTAATAATGGAATGCAATATAATGTAGGCGTAATGTTATGATCTACAAATGAATATGAAAATGAATTGAATATTAAATGAATTGTGCTATTTCAGTCTTATTAAGTTATGTAAGGTTTGAGTGAACTTCGGAGGTCAATACGTAAATGCATTATTGCCCCCTTGTGTCCTTAAGAGGTTGCTGCAGCGAGTTAACCATGAAATTCGTAATTAAAACGAGGAAAAGCTCTTGAACATAGCCTATTCGAGGAAACAATCTCTTTTTTTTAATCAATTCTACGGTTTTATAGCTACACGTTACATTTATATTGCGACTGCTTGTGGTGGAGGAACAAGACTCCGCCATATTAGTATAAATAAACAAGCTATCCAAACAAAATGTTTTATTTGAGATTCATATTCAGTCCTTTGTGAGAAATCCTTTGGAATCACAATTTCTATTCAAGAGTATTTCTCAATGAAATGGACTTTGACCGTGGCCGTGGGAGCTCGAGCATCTCCGCTTCTTCGGCTGCAGCGGATTTCAGTCACAGCAACGCGAACATGTCGGGACATACCTGTGTGTCCCCGCGCGTATATACACGTAGTTGACTGGCCAAATGTGCCAGTCAACTTCAACCACGAGCTAAACTGGACCGAATTAAGCCAAAGCCACAGGAGACGGTTACTTAATGGACAGAGAATTAAGTGACTGCTGAGATTGTCCCTGCCGCAATGTAAGTGTGGATGAAACTTACTTTTGAATCGTAGCAGTGCGCCCTACTTAGTTAAATTTGACCACCTTTCTTGTATTTTATGCCTCAGTTAGATTATTCCCAACAGATCATTTAACGGAGGTATTTTTGTATTAGATGGCACCTCAATGTGCGCTCTCGCTTGATCTGTTTCTCTGTGTTCTCAGATCGAGAATGGATGAAAATGAATGGACATTAATCTTTATTATTGAAACGAGCGTAAATAGCTGACTATAACCTATATTGCATTAAACTATTTTCATCATTTTTTTTCTTTTCTATTTCCTTCTATGATAATTCGCTATACACAATAAAATGGTCTGCAAATTAAGCGCAATAATCTACTCTATTTTTTTAAACAGAGGCTAATCTAAAACTCTCTTAGATCGTTATTCTGAGTTCCACTTATTAATACGGACTGTGAAATGATTGTCTAATGTATGAAATGTTTGTGTAGGCTACTTAAACATTAGAAAGATTAAACCTAAGACTCTGCATGATGATCTTGTAACCTAATTCAAATTTTTGAGGCATCAACAGGTTTAGTAAAATCTACATTGTTATCAAAATCTGCCTTTTACCTTAAAAAGTACTAATAGCCACCATGATAATACAGGAGGTACAATAGAAAGGTACATATTAATGAATCATCGTAAGTGAAACATTGCCAATACAGTACACTGGGTCACACACAAGACTAAAGTAATGCAATAAACATTACCTAAATAACAGAAAATGTAATACAATCTTAACACAACACCTAATGTACATTACTGATAACAAAAATAAGATTTTTTTTTTTAAATAAAATATAATCATATGTGAAGTGTCATTCAGGGACTTCTGTGAATGTCCTTTTACCTTTTTTTTTTTTTTTTTTTTCCCCAAAATTTTTTTTTTTAATTTGTTTTAATACAGAACAATACATAAAAAAAATAAAAAATATATACATAAATAAAAGAAAACACATACCCAAGTAGGAGAACCTTATATTTTTTTTTTTTTTACCATAAATTATATGGTAACTAATAGTTTTTATTTCCAAAAATAATTTAAAGCTAATTTTCCCTTTTATATTTGAAGGTAACTTACTGTTAACCAATTAACAATTAACAGAACTTTAGCAGCATGCATTATTTTATATTCAGGCCTCATAGTTTTGAATTGAGGATTTGTGTGTATTGTGTTTGCATGCAATATGTTTTAACACTTTGTTTCTACTTCTCTTAGATATGGAATGGATTGCTCGATGGACGAGTATTACCACAGTGGTCAATGCCACAAATGCCCACAATGTCCACCTGGCCAAGAGCTGAAAGAGGTGAGAGAAAGAGAGTGAGATTGAGTGTGAGTGAGCAAGAAAAATGCCCTGCTGTGTATCCAAAATTTCAGGATTACCTTAAAGCAAACATTTGAAAAGTCATTCACTTTATTAATCAACATTTGAGAAGCCCAGTGGCTGTGTGAAGAAGACAACACCTACAATTAACCGGCACTTATTTTTAAACGCATGTAGATGAACCCCTGCAGTCAAAGTCATCAACACCTGTTGATTGACTTTGTAAGATAGTATATAAGCATGTTGTTATATTTTTAAACATTTGATTATGCAGATGTTTATTTTTGTAGTAACTGCTGGACTGATGGGTTAGTAGTCCTTAACATACAACCTAAGGATAAAACTAGTCCTTCATTCTATTTCTAATTTCTAAGCTTTAATAGATATATTATCAATATTTTAATATTATTTTTTAATATTTATTTTATTTATTTATACAAATAATTAATATTAATATATTTTAATATATTTATTTATATTTAACCGTAGATAGAAGAATATTGATAATGTGACTGTTTTTTTAAATAATTTGCAATTTTGAAAATTGAAAATTGCAATTGTCTTCTGTTCATAAGTATTTTTAAATGTAATTTTACCTATGAAATTATGATAAATTGCCATTTTTTTCTGTTAAAAAATGTGATGGTCTCTCTTAGGTCTGTTTTATGTACATGATAAATCTATATGAAGACATAACATTTTAAAAATGTCCAAAGAGAGCCCCAATTTGAGGATTATGTAAACATGCTGTAGTATCCCATTCCTGCCACCAGAGGCTTACACATGACCTTAAATGACTTACAAACAGGGCTCGGTTACAAAAGCTGCCTTCTCAGGAAAACTTTGACACATCCAATGTACTTATTATGTTACTGAATATGTTTGTGTGCATGTGGGCTGTTAGGACTGTGGTTATGGTGTAGGTGTGTCAGCAGTGTGTGGCGTATGTGACGTTCGGTGGTTTAAGGAAGACTGGGGCTCTCACCCTTGCGCACTGTGCCAGAACTGCCGCAGACTCAATAGACACCAAATCAAGCGCTGCACACACACAGACAATGCAGTATGCGGAAACTGCCTCCCTGGGTGAGACTTTCTCACAAACATACACACACACACAAAACAACCTTTATGAAACCTGATCTGTATAGCTGATAATTGTGATCAACCCAAACACAACTGATTGCATGCAACATCGCACCCAAAACTTTATAGACTCACACACACCTGTATCCTGGTTTTCAAACCAAATCCTTTTTTTTTCAAATGGCAGTTTCTACAGCAAAATGCGACTGGATGGCCTAGAAGATTTGGAATGCCTTCCATGTGGCCCCGCCCCCTTCAGAAACATACAGTGTAGCCGTGAGTACCATACTGAAAAATACAACTTACACTAGCATGACTGAGTCTGAGAACTGTGTCAAATTAAAAACTTGTTTCCAGACCCCTGTGTTCTGTTCAGTTCTGTTACGCTTCATCCAACTGTTGAACAAAATGTATCATATTTGACTGCCCCATAAGCAGAGCTTCAGGGTTGGCCTGTGGTAAATATGATGCTCAATCAACCTAATTATACAGGGATTCATTAAAGCAAATTAAACGAAAATGAAAATTCTGTCATCATTTACTCACCCTCATATTGGTCCAAACCTGTGTGAGTTTCTTTCTTCTGTACATAACAAAATAAGGTCATTTTAATGAGCATACATTTGGGTGAATTCAATAAAATGGCAGTATATCAAAGCACCTGAGATTGTCAACAACAAAAAGTGTATGTGGTTTGATGGTAATTTTGTAATTGCTAATCATTTCATTTCATCATATTTTTAACATAAGAGTAAGCTTCACACTAAATGCAAAAGCAGAGCGTAAGCAGCCCATTTTTTTTCAGCACTAAAGGGATGGTTCACCCAAAAATGAAAATTCTGTCATCATTTACTCACCTTCATGTGATTCCAAACCTGTATGAAATTCTTTCTTCTGCTGAGCTGAACCCAAAAGAAGATATTTTGAAGAATGTAACTAAACAGTTGATGGGAGCCAGTGACCATAGTATATACTATGGAAGCCAATTGCTACCATCAACTGTTTGGTACGGTGGTCGAGAGAGCTCAACGCGCTGCAACTTCAGAAAACAAATGCAAATAGAAAAAGCACCAGCAAATTAAGAAAACATCTTCATCAGTTTGACAGCACATGTGCTGCAAATACTCGCAACACAAGCAAATACAAAAACACGCTGCAAATGCTCACAACACAAACAAATAAAGAAACGCGCTGCAAAAACAGAAACGCGGTTACCATTACGGATGCAACGATTATAGATTTTGTTGGTACGATTATTGTCTGAGAAATAATCACGATTTCACAATTATGACTATTATTATGCATTTATTCATTTCACAAAATTATTGTATAAAATCACATGGACACTCTTTAGATAATAAAGTGTTATTTATTGCTGCCTTTAGAAACAGAAATAACACAGTAACCAATAATACAGCACAAAATAATAATAATAAAGACAAACAAATGTCTATCTCTCCAATTGGAATTAAAAAGGTGACCTCTGCTCTGTAAACATACATGTCAGTATTTCCCTTTTGCGCGGTTAATTGTGAAACCGGTTAATCGCTGCATCCCTAGTTACCATGGTTTAACTATAGTAACCATTTCTTTGTTTTTATTAATTTTTTACATAATAAATGTATTTATTAATTAATTAATTTGAATAGTAAAACTATGGTTAATTTTTGTAAGGGAAGTTGTAAAGTAAGTTAGCCAGCTTACATGCTTTCACAGTTACAGTAATTGTGTAACAGTAATTTCATCATCTTATTTAGGCTAATAATTAAAAAAAAGAAGAAGAAGAAGCAAAGGAATCGTATGATCAGGATGTTAAAATAAACAAAAAT